CTTCATGCTAAGGGATGTTTGGGAAGTAGGCCCCAAAGACTAGAGACTGGAAGGATCTTTTAACCAATCTCAGCCCAAGATGTTTGGGAAGTAGGCCCCGCAAGAGTAGAGACTGGAAGGATCTTTAATTCAAATAAAGATCCAAAATCAGCCTAACCAATCTCAGCCCAAGATATTTGGGAAGTAGGCCCCAAAAGAGTAGAGATTGAATGGAATCATCTTTCATTCAAATAAGGACTCCAATCACCCTAACCAATCTCAGACCAGCCCAAGTTCCGAGTGAAAAGGGACTGCCTCAGTGCCCAGTGCTGCCATGAATGGGGAACAGGAGAGAGAGGACGCACTTAGGTCAAGGCACATGAGAAACGACATTTTGGTTTGCGCAGTGTTGTTGTTTTTGAACCTTGTAGTGATCATACCAACCTCTTTCAAAGGGGTTTGCATGATGTTTGGTGGTGTATGTCTTCAGCAAGATCGTTCTTTATGACAAGGTTCCAAAAACAAGTATCAGGTGTCAAAGTCGCAACTATTTGATGGTTGCACCATGCGGCATTCATACCATTTACTTTTTAAGAGGGTGGCGAGAGGATGTGTGATTTTGATATGCTTAGGTGCTCAGGTGGATCTTCTTTAACGTTGGTCTGGATCATGCGCTGGGGGGAAAACCAAGTCCATCCGCCGATGAACGCTGGTTCATGGTGTATAACGCTGGACAAGCGTTTGAGCCGCTGAACAAGCGGACGGAATGGAATTGGTTTTGCCATGGGCAAAGTGTTGAAAGAGACACAGAGTGTAGTTTTGGAAAACGCAACCTTCTGCACAAGAAGTCGCTGAACAAGCAATGGGGCGCTGAACAAGTGCCAGCGATTTCCAAAGCGACACCCCACTGAAATATGTGGGAAGTCTACGCTGCAACATGCGTAGCGCAACATTCAGAATAAACAGACCAGCTGCACCTGGCGTGTTTACACTGAATGTCCGTGGGGTCATGTGCAACATCCTCTCATAGCATAGCGTTCATTGGTCCCATAAATATAGTGAATTATGAGCTAATTTCATCAAGTCTCCAATTTCTGAACCATTGTTCTTTAATGCTTGTTGGACCATACCATCATAGAATCATAGATATCATAGCAGTCATTGTCCTGAGTCATGAACACTTTAATTTTGGGGTTGTAAAATCATGAGCTACTATGAGCATAGATCATAGCGCCCTGAGGCCTGATACTCGTCAAAAGCACGCATACCACACATTGACAACTACGGTTTGCAACATTGTCGTTCCTGTTTCTTATCAACGACCATCACGCATTGTCCATGATCATGACTGTTAATTTCCGATAGTTATTGCCAGTATTAAGGGTCATATAGTCAGTGTATATAAGTTTGGATGCCTACAATAAGCAAGATGTCTCATAAACCCGGGGTTACAAGTCAATGGGTTCAAGTTCAGTGTAAACATGTGTAAACCACCACGGTCCCACCATACCCACAGCACATCTGCCAAAACCAACTGGCGCAATCATCTCATGAGTTATCCAACTCATAGGGGAAGTCTTAACATGTGGAAGTATGCAACATAAACTTCACCTGGCCCTTCCCCTAGGTGTGACTCAATGAAAGGGTTCCCAAAAATGCGCTGTACAAGCGCAATGCGCGCTGCACAAGCGCTATGCGCGCTGCACAAGCGCTATTACTGGATTAAAACCTCTAACTTCGGATTCTGTCCAACATCAGCTTCGCTCTGAGGCTGCGGGGCTTCTGGTACTCCTTGTTGACCACTTGTTCCTTGGCACCGGATAGCAGAAGCATTCTCAAGGAGGTTACTATGACTTGTGAGTATCCCTCCTCAAGGTGGCAAGTTTGACATGGCTTCAAACATGTTGGTTCAATGCACTCTGTGACCATTTTCAACCGCACTGTGCCAGCCATGTAGCCTTAGCCTTACGCCGTTGGAGCCATTGGCAAGGGCTGCGCAAGGGATTGCATTATTGGTAAAACCTCTTGAATGATATCCCTGATTTACTAGAATAGTATCTCTTGATAGCTAAAATATGTTGATTGGTCAATCTTCCTTACACACATTTCTTGCGCAGCCTTTGCCCAACCCCAACTTTACGCCAAGCTTTGCGTCGCCCTAAGCCAAACCTTGTAGCGCTTAGGCCCCTCATTTCATCTTTTTCTGCTTCTTTTCCTTTTTGTTATCCTGCACAGCGGTGCTTATTGTGGGCTTATCAGGCTTGCGGTGTAGAGTTGTCACATGTTTCTCATCCACGATGGAGTGTTCAGGCTGCCTTTATTTAGGTCCCCACCCCTTGACCGGCCTTGTCTTTGCCATCATCACCTTTCCTTTTCTTTTCCTTTTTCTTATCTTTTTTTCTCCTTGGAGATGTCCTTCTCGTGTGGCATAATCTAAAAAAATACTGACAATCCCACTATGAATCTCGCCATAGCCAGGTTTTAGAAATCTCGCCATAGCAAAGCTTTGAAAATCTCGCCATGGCGAGATTTTGGAAATCTCGCCATGGCGAGGTTTTAGAAATCTCGCCATGGCGAGATTTTGGAAAATCTCGCCATGGCGAGATTTTTGGAAATGGCCCATGGAGAGGACCTCTGTGGGGAGCTAGCCATAGCCAAGGGTTCAAATCTCACCATGGCGAGATTTTGGAAAATCTCGCCATGGCGAGATTTTTGGAAATGGCTCATGGAGAGGACCTCTGTGAGGAGCTAGCCATAGCCAAGGGTTCATGGCTAGAACTTCTGGCGAGCATCTTGAACAGGTCATGCAGCGCAGGTGGAAAAGATTGCCAAAATCAACATGTTGCAAAAAGCCATTCTATGGCTAGCACCTCTAGGAGGTCCTAGCCATAGGCCCTTCTTCAAGATGTTTGCCTGGAATAACATGTTTTTTTGACCTAGCCATGCGTTTTTCATGCTATGATAAGTTTAATATTGTCATGGCTAGGACCTCCTAGAGGTGCTAGCCATAGAATGGCTTTTTGCAACATGTTGATTTTGGCAATCTTTTCCACCTGCACTGCATGACCTGTTCAAGATGCTCGCCAGAAGTTCTAGCCATGAACCCTTGGCTATGGCTAGCTCCTCACAGAGGTCCTCTCCATGAGCCATGTCCAAAAATCTCGCCATGGCGAAATTTTCCAAAACCTCGCCATGGCGAGATTTGAACCCTTGGCTATGGCTAGCTCCTCACAGAGGTCCTCTCCATGGGCCATTTCCAAAAATCTCGCCATGGCGAGATTTTCCAAAATCTCGCCATGGCGAGATTTCTAAAACCTCGCCATGGCGAGATTTCCAAAATCTCGCCATGGCGAGATTTTCAAAGCTTTGCTATGGCGAGATTTCTAAAACCTGGCTATGGCGAGATTCATAGTGGGATTGTCAGTATTTTTTTAGATTATGCCACACGAGAAGGACATCTCCAAGGAGAAAAAAAGATAAGAAAAAGGAAAAGAAAAGGAAAGGTGATGATGGCAAAGACAAGGCCGGTCAAGGGGTGGGGACCTAAATAAAGGCAGCCTGAACACTCCATCGTGGATGTGAAACATGTGACAACTCCACACCGCAAGCCTGATGAGCCCACAATAAGCACCGCTGCGCAGGATAACAAAAATGGAAAAGAAGCAGAAAAAGATGAAATGAGGGGCCTAAGCGCTACAAGGTTTGGCTTAGGGCGACGCAAAGCTTGGCGTAAAGTTGGGGTTGGGCAAAGGCTGCGCAAGAAATGTGTGTAAGGAAGATTGGCAAATCAACATATTTTAGCTATCAACAGATACTATTCTAGTAAATCAGGGATATCATGCAAGAGGTTTTACCAATAATGCAATCCTTGCGCAGCCCTTGCCAATGGCTCCAACGGCGTAAGGCTAAGGCTACATGGCTGGCACAGTGCGGTTGAAAATGGTCACAGAGTGCATTGAACCAACATGTTTGAAACCATGTCAAACTTGCCACCTTGAGGAGGGATACTCACAAGTCATAGTAATAGTAATTAACATCCTTGAGAATGCTCCTGCTATCCGGTGCCAAGAAACAAGTGGTCAACAAGGAGTACCAGAAGCCCCGCAGCCTCAGAGCGAAGCTGATGTTGGACAGAATCCGAAGTTAGAGGTTTTAATCCAGTAATAGCGCTTGTGCAGCGCGCATAGCGCTTGTGCAGCGCGCATTGCGCTTGTACAGCGCATTTTTGGGAACCCTTTCATTGAGTCACACCTAGGGGAAGGGCCAGGTGAAGTTTATGTTGCATACTTCCACATGTTAAGACTTCCCCTATGAGTTGGATAACTCATGAGATGATTGCACCAGTTGGTTTTGGCAGATGTGCTGTGGGTATTGTGGGACCGTGGTGGTTTACACATGTTTACACACAGGAACAGACACTTGCCATCGCCCATTGTGATGGGTGATTTTAACTGTGTGAACTTGAACCCATTGACTTGTAACCCAGGGTTTATGAGACATCTTACTTATTGTAGACATCCAAACTTATATACACTGACTATATGACCCTTAATACTGGCAATAACTATCGGAAATTAACAGTCATGATCATGGACAATGCTTGATGGTCGTTGATAAAAAAACAGGAATGACAATGTTGCAAACCGTAGTTGTCAATGTGTGGTATGGGTGCTTTTGACGAGTATCAGGCCTCAGGGCGCTATGATCTATGCTCATAGTAGCTCATGATTTTACAACCCCAAAATTAAAGTGTTCATGACTCATGACAATGACTGCTATGATATCTATGATTCTATGATGGTTTGGTCCAACAATCATTAAAGAACAATGGTTCAGAAATTGGAGACTTGATGAAATTAGCTCATAATTCACTATATTTATGGGACCAATGAACGCTATGCTATGAGAGGATGTTGCACATGACCCCATGGACATTCAGTGTAAACACAGGTGCAGCTGGTCTGTTTACTCTGAATGTTGCGCTACGCATGTTGCAGCGTAGACTTCCCACATATTTCAGTGGGGTGTCGCTTTGGAAATCGCTGGCACTTGTTCAGCGCCCCATCGCCCTTCTTGTGCAGAAGGTTGTGATTTCCAAAACTACACTCTGTGTCTCTTTCAACACTTTGACCATGGCAAAACCAATTCCAATCCGTCCGCTTGTTCAGCGGCTCAAACGCTTGTCCAGCGTTATACACCATGAACCAGCGTTCATTGGTGGATGGACTTGGTTTTCCCCCCAGCGCATGGTCCAGACCAACGTTAAAGAAGATCCACCTGAGCACCTAAGCATATCAAAATCACACATCCTCTCGCAACCCTCTTAAAAAGTAAATGGTATGAATGCCACATGGTGCAACCATCAAATAGTTGTGACTTTGACACCTGATACTTGTTTTTGGAACCTTGTCATAAAGAACGATCTTGCTGAAGACATACACCACCAAACATCATGCAAACCCCTTTGGAAGAGGTTGGTATGATCACTACAAGGTTCAAAAAAAAAACACTGCGCAAACCAAAGTGTCGTTTCTCATGTGCCTTGACCTAAGTGCGTCCTCTCTCTCCTGTTCCCCATTCATGGCAGCACTGGGCACTGAGGCAGTCCCTTTTCACTCGGAACTTGGGCTGGTCTGAGATTGGTTAGGGTGATTGGGGTCCTTATTTGAATGAAAAATGATTCCATTCAATCTCTACTCTTTTGGGGCATACTTCCCAAACATCTTGGGCTGAGATTGGTTAGGCTGATTTGGGATCTTTATTTGAATTAAAGATCCTTCCAGTCTCTACCCTTGTGGGGCCTACTTCCCAAACATCTTGGGCAGTTAAAAGATCCTTCCAGTCTCTAGTCTTTGGGGCCTATTTCCCAAACATCCCTTAGCATGAAGCATCCCTGGAGCATGACTGTGGATTTCTTTTGTCATGCTTTTCAGCTCCAACTCGCTGTGAATGAGCACTGCGAACAGTCTATGACAGGCTGCAATGCATGACGCGTGCTAGCGGTTACTAGCAAACACTCACATTCTCCTGAGGGAAGCACGGGTGTAATCCAATCTCCAGGCCAGCTATGCCAGTGAACAAAGAAATGACGGGCAGTTTCCCATCCTGCCGGAATGAAGTGCAGAAACATGATGCGCAATGCGCAATCTGGCAAATTCACCTGACACGACACCAGAAGAAATCCTTGGTGGTTCTGGCTCCGGGAAACATGGCATCAAACACACGATGGCTCACTGCCCCTGGAGTAGGATCCGTCCAGTTGGCCGGAAGACCTGCAAAACATCAATAAATAAATTGAAACGTGGAACAAACCAAAGGTCGCTTTCAACTTGGTATTCAAATCTGCCCCCACCTCCAAACCACTCTGCCACCGTTGGGTCTAAGTGGCGGCCAAGTTTGGGGTTGACTCCAAATTTCTGGCAGTCATGGCGGTAGGCAGTACTGCACTTGACCTGGTTGCTCAAATCCTCAGCAAAAAATGAGTCAGTTGTTGGCAAGGAGTCTGAAATACTGATGGCTTCATCAAAACAATATAATGATGGTGAAAGTTGTGTTGAAATTCATCTTCAGTCCCCAACACTCACCCCACGCGTTGATACCAAACTCTTTGTAGCCGAGGTTGTGCTGGAGAAACACCCTGGGTAGAAACCAAGTTTCAAATGCAAGATGCACAATAAATGAACAACTTAACTAAGCAATTTGCGATGTTGAGACATGGACTCATGCATGACCAAGCTTTGAAAATCTTGGTGCCACTAAAGACCTTGGTGCCGTCCTTCTTCTCGGTCTGCTTGGTGCGTTGCACCTGGAAGCAGCAGCAAAGCCCAAACGGCATGGTAAACTGACAGAAACTGACAAAATAAGTCAGCGCTCAAAAAATCTCAACAACCGTTCTCATTGTCAGACTGACATGCTGCCAAAATTGTGAAGAAAACCTGAGGTCCCAGCTACCTTCAAGTTCAAAGGCTGGGTCTTGGCAAAATTCGCGTTGTAAGGGGCAAACCAAATCTTGCCATCAGGTTTGCTGCGGGCCCACCCACAGGCCGGCAAAGGCTTGTCAGGGCGCGCTGGAAGAAAAACAACTTCCACAAACTTGTCTTTCTTCAAAGATGGTTTGCGGACAGATCTGGCAGTTGCTCGCTTGCACTTGCCCTTCCCACCTCGCTTGATGGCTGCAGCAGGGCGGCGTTTTGCCACTGGAACCCGGGCCTGGCCAAAGCACGCAGAAAAAAACATCTGAGACGGTGACACTATCTGCAAACCAAAGCCTTGAATTCAAAACTATCTGGTCCAATTGACTGTTCTTTGTCTCAAGGTAAGCTTGACGCTGGGCCCTGCCTTCGGCTGCTTTTGGCAAGGCTCAAGCTCCTCCATTTCTGACCTGATTTTTTCAGGACGTACGTAATGACACAAAATTTATTAATCAAAATTCGTTCCTGCAAATGAAATGCTTTATGTCATTGCGCTGATCAACTGGGGATGTGGCCCGCTGAGTTCACTCACTACCGTTTTGCACGGCATGGTGAGGGTAGCTGGCTGGGAGCTTACGGAAAAAAATAGCTGCGAAAGGACGGCCGCCAGAGGTTCAACAAAAAACATTCAATGTCCCAAAATACACGTGGTGCCTGATGCTTTTCAAAACAATAGCCGGTGCCGCAACCAGCCATTCTCACTAACGATTCTCTATCCCAACAGCTGCAAAAATATCAATGCTGACTGTAAATAACTCAGAAAGATGCTGAATCGGAACACATCAATGTCTAATCACCTTCCATCGGCTAAAATTCCCACCGGGCAGGTCCAAATTAGTTAGATTAAATCAATTTAAAATTCACCCTGGGTAGTAATATATTAATCTGGACTACTTCGATGAGCCCCACCCTTGCCAAAAGCACAACGCATGCTGCAACTTCGGTCATCCCCACCATGTCGTGGGCATTTTTATTTTCCACTGAAGACTGTCACACCGTCTGCAAAATGAAAAGTGAAAGCTTCACTGCGGGAGGGTGGGAAGCCATGTGACCCATGTCAACATTCAAGTATTATTCTTTCAAGCACTGACCACGAGAGCTGCCAAGGAACTACCACATGCAGTCCAATCAATCCTGAAAACATAGTGATTGGACCCCCATATTTTGAGGACCCCATTCAATCTGAGGACCCCATTCAAAGGAAATTTTCTTAAAAATGAGGTGGTTGAACGAGCACTACAGGTTAGGAAAATTCACCCAAGGGGATGGCAGGTTCGTCGGCAAGGATATTCGATGCCAGAAGGATGGAAGCTTTTTGGTCCATTAACCTATGTTCGCCAAGAAGATCCAACAAATTGAACTGAGTCGAGAACGAAAGCAATAGAAGTACTCGTATTGCAACGAGAAGGAGATCAGTCAGTTGAGGGGACTACTTGGAAGTTTGTCCTGGCTGGCCAAGGAGACCAGACCAGACTTGGCAGGAAGGGTAGCATTGCTTCAGCAATCGATGCCTAACCCGTATATTCAGGATCTGATCGAGGCCAACAGTCTTGCTCGAGAAGCAGTGCAGTTCGCAGACCTGGGCATCACCATACAACCAATACCCTTTGAATTTTTGAGGGTAGGAACCGTTTCCGATGCGTCCTGGGGAAACACCAAACCGGAGAAGGATGAGACCCCTTCCAAGGACTATTGGGAGGAGAAGGAACGTTGCTGGATCCGACACCACATACAACCACGAAAACTTCTCTTTCATCCAGCAGGAGATCCCTCCGGACCCAACTGCTACGACTTGGAGCCCGATCGCGTCACGATAGCTGATGGACAAGAATACAGAGATGAATGGAACCAGAGAAACAGCTGTCGAACACATTCCGATGAGAGTTGGTGTGGTCAAACAATTTTCTTCAAAAGCTCCGCTACCAAGAAGCCAAAGACCAAGGTGAATGAAAAGTTTCTTCAACAAGGACGTCTAGCCAGTCAAGGGGGCTTCATGACATTCTTCTATGACAGCCGTATGGAGACCACTGAAAGGTCCTATCCCATATCCATCATCAACTGGAAGAGCTTTCGGATCAAGAGGTGCACAGTCAACACTCTGTCTGCTGAATGTCAAGCGATGCTGCAAGGCGTTGGAGCTTTACACTGGCTAAGGTTTTTGATTCGAGAAGCTCAAGGTCAAGATCTGAATATCCAAAACTGGGAGGACGAGATCAGCCACTTGCCCTACATCGCGGTCACGGACAGCAAATCTCTCTATGACACGATCCAGAAGTGCTGCAACACGGCCTCACATATCGAGGACAAGAGGACCGCCATCGACGTCACTATTTTGAAGCGGGACTTCAAGCAGACCAAAGGACAGGTCCGATGGGTGGAAGGGACCCGAATGGTTGCTGATAGTTTAACCAAAAAGATGGGAAGTTCTTTTCTCCGTGAAGTGTTAACCAAAGGGAGGTGGTCCTTATCTGAACTTGGCTTCCAACAGGAAGGCAACAGCTTGCTCTACCTGATTCCAGGCCTTTAAAGTCTGGCCGGTGTGAATTGCTGGTGACTGGCCTGGCTTCAGGTCCTTTGTGGATGTGTTCCACTGCAGTACATGACGGCTCAATGTGGGCCTTGGGATTGCGCCAAAAAGATGCGCGCACCGTGGGTTCGTTTACAGAATCAAAAGAGAGAGGGTTAGCCACATTCGGCCAGCATTGTTTCTCTTGCTTACTCTCAAACTGCTAGCAACATAGGATCATTCAAATGACCCTACTGCCTATCTTGAAATTATCGGGAAGGTCAAACATTCACAAGCTGAAACGTCAGCCAGAACATCTGCATAGCTGATGGCTAGCGCTTGGGGCTTGGCCCTGAGGATTCCGCCCGTTGCCGCCAAGCAGCACCAGGGCCCAGCTTCACTTGGAGATCGTGCCTGTCAAGTTGTCACCCGGCCTCTGGGATCCTCTGGAGGCCTGGATAAGAAAAAAATGCCCAGCAACAAGGCTGATACAGCAAAACAACAAATTGACCAATATGTTTTTGAAGTGTGTAAATCAGCATGGAAAAATTGCTGCTATTCATCATTGATTGGGGTTACTGCAACAATTCTTGCTGAATGCATCCACCAAGTTTCAAGAGTGGTTTGGCGCAATTGACGGCAGCTTCATTCACCAAAGCACCATAAACAATGTCCCTGATGGAGGCGGTTTTCAGTTGTGGGATTTCGAAGGCATCGAAACCCGTGATTTATGGTGATTTTGGTATTTCTTGAAATGGGCATATCCCAAAACAAGGGGTTTCGATACTAGAAACATCCATGGTAGGTATGTTTTAAAGTGGAGATACCGCGCAAACATTTCCGGTGACGAACTCGGCCGAACTCGTGGATTTTGATCTTTTCAGATACCATCCGTTCCCTCCAAACGTGGCCATGGGACACCCGAACGAGTCATGGAGGTCCCTAGGAAAACCATCCGTAAATGGAGGTACTTTCAGATTTCATACCGCAACTTAGCTGGTTGGTGGTATACCTACCCCTCTGAAAAATATGAAAGTCAATTGCGATATGATTATTCCCAATATATGGAAAAAAAATGTTCCAAACCACCAACCAGGATTTCATACCGCAACTTAGGTTTGTGGGCCCCAAAGGATGGAGGCATTGTTTGTAGCAGGCCGAGACGCTGCATGCTCATGCTTTCCCACAAAATTGCACACTCTCTGTCATTGGCCAGTCCTCAGAAAATAGGGGGCAGCTGTGATATAGCTAGCATATTACAAGTATTGCCACACCCGATATATGTACATACATCAATTTTATACAATATGTAATATACAGCATGTCAATCTGATATGGTTGAGATATCTTCCGGTTATATTGGTTACATTGGCCACAATATTCCGGGCACCGGCTGGTCAACTTCTGGGCTTTCTACACTGGTAAGGGTCCAATCACATTGGAATAAACAAATACTGAGATGGGCAACGAAGTTAGTTGGCAAGCTAACAAATGGATACGCATGGATTATAATTGGATATACTATCTGGTTATTTAACATAGCCATGGGAAATCACCATTTTTAATAGGCAAACCGGCAAACCATCTATAAATTTGCCATTTTCCATGGCTATGTTAAATAACCAGAGGGAAATTGGGATATGGTGGCACTTACAAGTCATTGACCAGGACCAGCTAATCCAAAACGGCTCATCTCAGTATGGAAAACATCTCAGCCCAGCAGAAAATTAATGAATGATAACTTAATGCATATATGAATTATTATGAATTATCATATGCAATGATGTCTTGAAACATGGCACTTTAAGCCCATTGCCCATATATGATGGTGTTGCTGCATGTTGCTGCCAAATATTCTGCGCCTGCTGCATGGGTGACAAGTCGTGGATACAAACAACCAAGACACGACTTGGTGGCGAACTACCCCTGGATCCTAAGCATAGGCTATATCCCTAGTTTTGTTAGTGGGATAAGTAGGGTCAATCCATTTATAACATCTTTTAACTATAGGGTGAACTAACCTACGTACTAAGTGGGATGAGCCACCAAGTAGAGTCTCTATGTCTTTGTACGAAACCCTTACACTAATGTATATGCGACAATGAATTATACAGGATATTGTAGCGTATCAATGTAATCATCATAATCGCTGAGCACCCTGCAGATACAATGCATCGCATCGCATCCAGCTTGCACGTCCGCAAGAATATCTTGTGTGACGTAGCAACATCATCATGGTTCTGCACATGCCTACACACATTATAATGCCCCACCCCACTTCGCCAGCCCCAACTTTGTGTGAAGATCTTGTGAGGCAGCAATACCGATTTTGTCATCATGTACATGAACATTAATCTCAGATCCACCCCGACCCCAAGTGTGTTCGAAGATCTTGCGACGCGGCCACAGCAGTGTTGTGCACATGTACATGAACGCTAATGCCCCACCCCATGTTGGAATATCTGTCTGCTAGAGAACCAAACTCGAGAAATCAAGGATTTCGGCTTCACCTTTCACAGCAACATGTCCCTGGCAATAAATGAACCTTGAAATTACAACTACCATCTGGTTATTTAACATAGCTATGGAAAATCCCTTATAAATGGAGGTTTTAATAGGAAAATCATCTTTAAATGGGTAATTTTCCATAGCTATGTTAGTCATAACCAGAGGGTATCCCATCTCATGCTACTAGTTGGTTGATTGCTATTGATTGGTGAACCCCCAATTTGATGGGTGATAACAGAGCAATAACAATCCATAATGACCCCAACAGCCACGTGGTATCACTCCTCAGAACAACCAACAAACATCAACCAACTAGAGTAGAAGTTTAATGGTTCCAATGAATCTATATACATTACGATAGATCTATTTCATAATGTAAATACTCTGAGTTTTTTGGGTGAACATGGCCAATGATGGTTGGCCTTTCCAGTCCGCCTTAAATTCCCCTGAGATCATCGGCGGCGGTTGTGTCTCTGGGTACCCCAAGATCCGGTTGACGAAAAAAAAGACTTCCACTCCCATGACGGATCCATGGT